TTGTGTTCAGTCCTTATGATTTAGACAGGCCTATTTCCAGTTTTTTTCGTTGTTCCCTTTTGCTTTCGTACATTGGAAGTGCCCCTGCCATGGGATACGTTAATAATGTGTCTATATGTAGAGCGGAGTTAGTTGTTGTGCGATGGCGTCGCATCCTAGGAAGGGGCAGCTGCTGGGAGAGGCTGCCGTGTGGAGGGCTTATGCCTGATAATCCCCTGTGTGGATCCAGCACTTCGGGTGCAGTAGACAGACTCAGGTATTTGTTAAAGTGGGTGGTTGTGCACGAGAGTCGAACCTTGTTATCGATTTTCACGCGTGAATGCTTCGAGCTAAATGTAGTTTCAAGGATGCACCGGTAGAACCTGGGGGCAACAGAGATGTAGGAACACTATGTCTAGAGAAAGAGAGTGTAGTCGCTGAGCAGCGGGGGAAAATTGTTACTTTGTAGCGCAGGCACCATCCTGCGCCCGGGAAAGTTACCAACTGACAGCGCAGGCGCAACATGACCTCCGACCAGAGAAACCAATACCTACCTAGCCACACCCTCCGCGATGAGATCATCTCCGCCTCTGGCCCAACCCCTTCCCCTCCAAGTACATATAAGGCATTGCATTACCACCATTAAACGAGACTTGATCAGAGCACTGTCTTGTCTCCATTTCTCGTGTCTCTTGTCCCCCAAATTCCCACTCCCTCCTCCAGGGCCTGCTTCGACGATCCCGCGGGCCGGGATAGGTCTCGAACTCCTGACCTCAGGTGATCCACCCACCTTGGCCTCCCAAAGTGCTAGGTTACAGGCTTGAGCCACTGTGCCCGGCCAAAAATGCCAAATTGTTTAGTAAGACTGGAGCACTGTCTTTAAAACATCTTTTTCTAAATACCTCTATACCTCAGAAATCTAAGAGTAAGACTCAACTAAAAGTTTCTAGGCCAGGTGCAGTGGCTCGCACCTATCATCTCAGCACTTTGGGAGGCTGAGGCAGGCGGATCGTAGCTCAGGTATTCGAAACTATCCTGGGTACCATGGTGAAACCCCATGTCAACAAAAAATAAAAATAAAAATAAATTTTAAAAAAAGAAGTAAGTTTCTAACTCCTCCCCGTTTCCACCAAAGAAAAAATTTTGCTTCCCACTTACATAACAGTAACATTAAATTGCTGCTGATGGTGGTCAACATTTGAACACTTACTATGTGCCATAAGCACTGTTCTAAATGCTTCACACATACTAACTCAATAAATCCTCTCAAACATTGTATGAGATATGTGCTAAACACCATTCCAATTTTATAGTTAGGACAATTGAGGCAGAGAGAAGGTAAATAGCTTACCCGGGATCACATTACTAGTAAGTAGAATTAAAATTCTGCAGCTTGGTGCCAGAACCCAGGCTTTTTAAACCATTACAACACACTGTTATGCTCCTTGATTATTCAGTTAGTCCTTTATTTAAGACAGCCTAACGTAATTGAAGTGCCCCTGCCAGGAACTTAATACATTTTCAAGTACATGTTAGTCTTAATCTGATCCAGGCCGGGTGCGGTGGCTCACGCCTATAATCCCTGTGATCCCAGCACTTGGGGAGGCCAAGGTGGGTGGATCACCTGAACTCAGGAGTTCGAGACTACCCTGGGCAACATGGTGAAACACTATCTCTAAAAAAAATTAGCTGGGAGCAGCGGTGTAAGCCTGTAGTTCCAATTACTCAGGAGGGTGAGGCAGGAGAATTGCTTGAGCCCAGGAGGTAGAGGTTGCAGCGAGCTGAGATCATGCCATTGCACTCTAGCCTGGGCGAAAAAGATATCATCTCAAAATAGTAATAATAATAATAATAATAATACTAAAACTGACCCATTTAATTTTTATCTCTTTCCTACTCCTGGCTAGTTTCAATTCAATAAGCATATGGTGAGCAAATTAAGTACACAGTACTGTGGAATAAGTATATGAACAGACATGATTCCTATCTGCCCAAGTTTATGATATAGCGGGAGACATACACATCAGCTACTCACTAAACATGACAGAAGAAATTTGAAGACAGATAGAAATACCAGCAAGATACTACAAAAAAGGAGTGATTACTTTTGGCTAGAGTGGAGAAAAAAATCAAGGGTGGTTTCAAGAAGGTAGAATTAGAACCAGACCTTGAAAGCTATGTTAAGAATGACAGTTGGGGAATGGAGGGAAGGTGCACTCCTGAGTGAAGGCACAGAACAACTGTTTGATCATTACGATATTTACAAGTGCCTTCTATTACTGGAAATGTTAATTAAACAATGTGGTTGGGGCCGGGCATGGTGGCTCAAGCCTGTAATCCCAGCACTCTGGGAGGCCGAAGTGTGTGGATCACCTGAAGTCAGGAGTTCCGGACCAGCCCGGCCAACATGGCGATACTCCATCTCCATTAAAAATACAAAAATTAGCTGGGAGTGGTGGCATGCGCCCACCAGCTACACATGAGGCTGAGGCAGGAGAATTGCTTGAACCCAGGAGGCAGAGATTGCAGTGGGCCAAGATCATGCCACTGCACTCCAGCCTGGGTGACAGAACAAAGCTCTGTCTCAAAAAAAGAAAAACACAAACAATGTGGTTGGAAAATTGGCTATGTAACAATATATACTGAGAAACGATGACTAAAATTAATTAAGAGACAGAGGATTTCAATACTATGCTAAAGAAAAGAAGCATTCTAAGTTTGTGGGAAAATTCAAACTGTGAGTGAAGGTAACTCCAACAAAGACTGAAGGTTGAAATACCAAGGCATGACACAAGGAATGTAGTTATAATAATCTAAGTGAGAGTTTATAAGGGACTGTGAAATTATGAATACAAAAGATAACAACTTAGAAGCAGAATTAAAAGATGGTTAGCAAAGCTAAAATGCCACTAATTAACATGTGAAACATACAGAACTGTTATAAGAACTTAGCACATTTGTAGGAAGATGAACATAAGCTGTTTCAAAACATTGTTTGAAGTATCAACTGGACATCCACATAAAGACTGATGTTCATTACTAGTTTGAAAGATGTAAGGAAAGATAGAGCCATAGAAAATAAACATTGTATAAAAACACATAGCCTTGGCTGGGTGTGGTGAGTCACACCTATAATCCCAGCACTTTGGGAGGCTGAGGTGGGTGGATCACCTGAGGTCAGGAGTTCAAGACCAACCTGACCAATACGGTGAATCCCTGTCTCTACTAAAACACAAAAATTAGTCAGGTATGGTGGGATCTGCCTGCAGTCCCAGCTACTTGGGAGGCTGAGACAGGAGAATTGTTTGAACCCGGGAGGCGGAAGTTGCAGTGCGCTGAAATCATGTCACTGTATTCCAGCCTGGGCAACAGAGCAAGAGACTCCGTCTCCAACAAAAAAATAAAAATAAAAATAGGATGAGTTCATGTCCTTTGTAGGGACATGGATGAAGCTGGAAACCATCATTCTCAGCAAACTATTGCAAGGACAGAAAACCAAACACCACATGTTCTCACTCATAGGTGGGAATTAAACAATGAGAACACTTGGACACAGGAAGAGGAACATCACACACCGCCTGTTGTGCAGTGGAGGGAGGTGGGAGGGATAGCATTAGGAGACGTACCTAATGTAAATGATGAGTTAATGGGTGCAGCACACCAACATGGCACACGTATACATATGTAACAAACCTGCACGTTGTGCACATGTACCCTAGAACTTAAATTATAATAATAAAAAACAATAAAATAAAATAAAAATAAATAGCTTTTTCAACAGTGTAATTAAATTAAGGCGTCCTTTATATCATTTGGGAGGATGGAAGAGATACTGGTTACTTTTACCGTTAGACATGCATGCTAAAGAGAACATAAATGGAAGAAATAATATCCAAACTTGCAAGAGAAAAAAAAGGGGTAAGAAGGAAGTATAGGAATAAAGTAGGAGTAATCTAATAAAAGGAAGAAAGAAAGTGAAAAGTTGCTGGGCATGGTGGCTCATGCCTGCAATCCCAGCACTTTAGGAGGCCAAGGGGGGTAGATCACCTGAGGTCAGGAGTTCGAAACCAGCCTGACCAAGGACGTAAAACCCCATCTCTACTAAAAAACTACAAAAATCAGCTGGGTGTGGTAGCAAGCACCTGTAATCCCAGCTACTCAGGAGGTTGAGGCAGGAAAATCACTTGAACCTGGGAGGCGGAGGTTGCAGTGAGCCCACATTACACCACTGCACTCCAGCCTAGGCAACAGAGCGAGACTCCGCCTCAGAAAAAAAAAAAAAACAGTGAAAAGCAAAAGCACAGAAAATAGGAAATAAAAAATAAAACAGGAGAAATTAGTCTAAGAATGATCAGTAGTAACAATAAACATTGAACTCAAAGACTGATAGACAGGAGTAAAAGCATACTGCTATTTATAAGAGATACGCCCAAACTAAAATAACATATATAAAGGCTGAAAATAAAGAAACAGAAGATGTGAGACAAATATCAAGCGGCCATATTAACAAATAAAATAGAACTTAAGACAAAAGCATTTATAGAAATGAAAAAAGCAGATGTGAGGGATACAACAAAACAATCCAATAAGGAAATATAATAATCATGTACCTATATGTAGCTAATATAGCCTTTGGATAAAACAAAAATCAAAAGAATTTTAAAAAGAAATTAACAAAACCAAGAATCATGAGATGTAAAAACATCTCAGTAACTAGATTACGAGGTTAAAAAGAAAAAATTAGTTAAGATACATAATTGAATAACAAAATAGGCAACTTTGACCTAACTGAAAAATTTCTGAACCCTTGAAAAGAATTAACTCTCTGATTGCATATGTACAGAATATTCACAAAAATGATCACAAAGAACAATACAAAGAAAGACTTTACAATTCCAAAGAATCAATAACAAATATACCTTATTCTTTAACGACAATGTTTAATAAGTTTAGAAATCAACAGTTTTATTTTATGAAGTTCAAAGATTTTTCTTTTTCTACTTTCTTAACTTTAAATGATTATAGTGGTCAAGAGAAATACACTTACCTTGTGAGTGCTGAGGTTTCGGGTTTCATCTAGATCCAAAAACATGTCCAAATCACATCCTAACTTCCCGAAAGTATTGACTGAGGAGCCAAAGGGTCTGACTACGCAGTCCGGAAAATATGCGGCGGCTATGTCTTCAATGAGAGAACAGGTGAGATATCGGAGCTTAGTGTTCTCCTCTGTTAGCTGGAACTCCTTCAAGAGAGTGTTCAGCTGATCGTCTATCTAGCTAGCCGAAACAAAACCAACAAAATAGAGAAAAAGTACAGGTCATATAAAAGAGTTACCATTTTACTTTGAAAGATTTAGTGGCTTTGGAGACCTAACCTAGAAATATGCAAAGCCTGGCGCGGTGGCTCACATCTGTAATCCCTGCACTCTGGGAGGCTGAGGCAGGTGGATCACCTGAGGCCGGAAGTTTGCGACCAGCCTGACCAACACGGAGAAACCCAATCTCTACTAAAAATATAAAATAAGCCGGGTGTGGTGGCACATGCCTGTAATCCCAGCTACTCAGGAGGCTGAGGCAGGAGAATCGCTTGAACCCAGGAGGCAAAGGTTGTGGTGAGCCAAGAACGCACCATTGCACTCCAGCCTGGGCAACAACAAGACTCTGTCTCAAAAAAAATAGAAATATGCAACATTTTCTTGTTCAGTCTTAAAAGTGGAGTAAAAAAAATACTCTTAAAAAACCACTGAGGATGCCAGGCACAGTGGCTCATGCCTGTAATTCCAATACTTTGGGAGGCTGAGGCGGATCACATGAGGCCAGGAGTTTGAGACTAGCCTGAGCAACACAGCAGGACCTCGTCTCTATTTCATTAAAGAAATAAATGATATAATATTTTAAAATTTTTAAAAAGCTCTGAGGAATGCCACTAGCAAAATAAAAGTCGGCTAGAATTAAAACTTTGTAAGCTTTGAGTATAAAGTATTGTTTTAAGAAAATGAAAGTAGTAAAGTACTCCAGAAGAGGTTAAAACCACGTTAGACATTTTAAACCCAAGGGGATGAAAGACCAATGTTAAAGGTCAAGAAAAACTAGAAATATTCAAGTAATGAAGGCTCAAGACCTCTCAGTTTCTCAGAATAACAATCCTGTCTATCCATTAGAAGACTGGCATTAAAACGATCACATACTGAAACTGTGTACTGGAGTATCTGAAGTGAAAAAAAGCTTCAAATGCTCTTACTTGAAACCAACATTGAAAATATCAAATGGCTGGGCACAGTAGCTCACACCTATAATCCATTGGGAGGCCAAGGCGGGAGGATTGCTTGAGCTCAGGAGTTTGAGACCAACCTGGGCAACATGATGAAACCCTGACTCTACCAAAAAAAATTCAAAAACTAGCTGGGCGTGGTGGAATGCATCTGTAGTCCCAGCTACTCAGGAGGCTGAGGTGGGAGGGTCACTTGAGTCCAGGAGTTTGAGGCTACAGTGAGCTGAGACTGCACCACTGCACTCCAGCCTGGGCAACAGAGCAAGACTCCATATCAAATAAAATAAAATAAAACACAATAAAACAAAACAAAACAAAACAAAATAACTGAACTAAGTATTCAACTCAAAAATAATAAAAGAGGCCAGGCTTGGTGGCTCATGCCTATAATCTTAGCAATTTGGGAGGCCAAGGCAGGCAGATCACATGAGATCAGTTCGAGACCAGCCTGGCCAACATAGTGAAACCCCGAATCTACTAAAAACACAAAAAATTAGCCAGGTGTGGTGGCGCATGCTTGTAATCCCTGCTACTTGGGGGGCTGAGGCAGGAGAACTGCTTGAACCTGGGAGGTGGAGGTTGCAGTGAGCCAAGATCATGCCACTGCACTCCAGCCTGGGCAACAAGAGCGAAACTCTGTCTCAATAATAATAATAATAATAATAAAAGAAAGGGAAATCGACTAGAAACAAAAATTTTCTTATTAGAAAAGTAAACCTTGAAAATTGTATTTTGATAAATAAAGCCATGAGTAGATTCTTTGGAAAGACTAGCAAGGTCTGGCAAGTCTAAGTAAGAAACACCAAGACAGGTGGGGCGCGCTGGCTCATGCCTGTAATCCCAGCACTTTGGGAGGCCGCGGCGGGCAGATCACGAGGTCAGGAGATTGAGACCATCCTGGCTAACACAGTGCAATCCCGTCTCTACTAAAAATACAAAAAATTAGACAGGCATGGTGGCGGGCACCTGTAGTCCCAGCTACTTGGGAAGCTGAGGCAGGAGAATGGCGTGAACCTGGGAGGCAGAGCTTGAAGTGAGCTGAGATCGCGCCACTGCACTCCAGTCTGGGCGACAGAGCAAGAGTCTGTCTAAAAAAACAAAAACAAAAAACAAAAAAAACCCACCAAGACAAATACAAACAATATTTGAACAGAGAAAAGAGACAGAATCTTGGGCCTGGCATGCTGGCTCACGCCTATAATCCCAGCACTTTGGGAGGCCGAAGTGGGCAGATCACCTGAGGTCGGGAGTTCGAGACCAGCATGGCCAAAGTGGTGAAACCCCGTCACTGCCAAAAATACAAAAGTTAGCTGGGCATGGTGGTGCATGCCTATAGTCCCAGCTACTCGGGTGGCTGAAGCATGAGAACTGCTTGAACCGGGGAGGAGGTTGCAGTGAGCCAAGACCATGCCACTGCACTCTAGCCTGGGCAACAGAGGGAGACTCCGTCTCAAAATAAAAAAGACAGAGAGAAAGAGAATCAGAAAGAAGACATTTTAAAATTGACAGAAAATCATGTACAATTTTATGTCATTATGCTGGAAACAGAAAGAAAACCTAAATTGTTCAAAAGGCCCAAAACTTCAGAAGAACTTGGTTACCTGTGAGTACAAATGGGGCATGGCGGGAAAGGAGCAGACAAGGATTACTATCACTTTTCATTCAACATATCCTGCAGTTTGAATTTTTTAAATACAATCCCATTTATTTATAGAAATATTAAAATTGTAATAAAAATATTAGCACAACAAATGTAATAATGCATTTTTTTAAATACACCTTGACTAAATAGGGTTTATTCTGTGAATGCAAGAATGACTTGACATGAGGAAATGTACAGTGAATCTACAATTCACTACATTAAGACATTAGGAGGGGAAAGAAAAGACATCAGGAGAAAAACCATATATAATTGCAAGATTATATGCCAGTCATCAAGATAATCTCAAATGTCAAAACTCAACATCTACTCAATGTGTTGAGCATGATGACATTCCTAGAAAGCTAGAAATAGAAAAACTCTTTCATCTCATTATGCATCCACCACCACGATTCATCTCCGTAACTCTTTTCACCTTGTAAAACTGAAGATCTATACCCATTAAACAATAATGTAGCTTGAATATTTTATACGAATCTTTATTGTTCATAAAAAAAATGCATATTTCTCAAAGTTGAAGTATACCTAAAAACTTACACTTTCTGCATAACATAGTAATTCAAAGAGCTTCCTGTTTGTAGGTGGCAACTGATCACTCGACTGTATGCATGACTGTTCAGAAGTCTGGTTTTTCAACTTCAGACTGAGGAAACGTGATCTGAATGGAATTGCAGTCTCCATGGCCATGTTTGGAGTACGAGTTCCATTTTGCAGTGAACCTACACTTTCCTTTCGGCAAAATTCTACAACAGCATAGAGACCCTATACCAAAAACATAAGAAAAAACAGAACACATTTCACAATATATCTAACATACTATTTTAGCTCATATTTTAAAACAATTATAATGCTACAAAATATCAAGTTTTTAAAATTTACAAATGATATGATTCTAACACAGCATTAGTTTTATTCAATTTAAGTAGATTAAGAAAAGGAACACTGGGCCAGGCACAGTGGCTCACACCTGTAATTCCAGCACTTTGGGAGGTAGAGGTGGGCAGATTACCTGAGGTCAGCAGTTCGAGACCAGCCTGGCCAACATGGTGAAACCCTGCCTCTACTAAAAATACAAAAATTAGCTAGAAGTGGTGGCAGGTGTCTGTAAGTCCAGCTAATTGGGAGGCTGAGGCAGAAGAATCGCTTGAACCCAGAAGACAGAGGTTGCAATGACCCGAGATCATGCACCGCACTCCAGCCTAGGCGACAGAGTGACTCTATCACAAAAAAAAAAAAAAAGAAAGAAAAGGAAAGGAACCTTAAAACGATGTTAGTTAAGAGAAGCTGAAGAGACTGAAAAGAATGAAGCAGAAAAACCCAAAGGCAAAACAAAGATCCCAGGCCGGGCGCGGTGGCTCACGCCTGTAATCCCAGCACTTTGGGAGGCCGAGACGGGCGGATCACGAGGTCAGGAGATCGAGACCATCCTGGCTAACACGGTGAAACCCCGTCTCTACTAAAAAATACAAAAAATTAGCCGGGCGCGGTGGCGGGCGCCTGTAGTCCCAACTACTCGGGAGGCTGAGGCAGGAGAATAGCTTGAACCCGGGAGGCGGAGGTTGCAGTGAGCTGAGATCCGGCCACTGCACTCCAGCCTGGGCGGCAGAGCGAGACTCCGTCTCAAAAAAAAAAAAAAAAAAAAAAAAAAACAAAGATCCCCTCCCACTGGCCTTCATCTGCAAGTTAAAGGGACTCTCTAAAGTATTCAAGCTGGGCGTGGAGGTGCAGGACTGTAGTCCCAGCTACTCCAGAGGCAGGAGGATCACCTGAGCCTAGGAGTCAAGGCTGTAGTGCACTATGATCCTACCTGCCAACAGCCACCACACTGCAGCACAGGCAACAGAGTTGGACCCCGTCTCTTAAAATTAAGCATCCAAATAATGAAATCAGTCATAAATGACTTATAATCCTAAAATACTGCTATAAGAATTTGTAGTCTCATATGGAAAACAAAACTCATTAAAGATGGGTGCAGCACACCAACATGGCACAAGTATACATATGTAACAAACCTGCACGTTATGCACCTGTACCCTACAACTTAAAGTATAATAATAAATAAATTTTAAAAAAAAAAGGAACACATCATCATACGTTTTATACACAGTGTATTGTTAAATGTCGTCATTTCATTATTAGTTGTTGTAATCTCTCTCTCTCTCTCTCTCTCCTTTTTGAACAGGCCTCGCTTCGTGTGCCGCAGCTGAGTGCAGTGATGCAACCTCGCCCACTGCAGTGTCGCACCCTGTGTTCCAAGTGATGTCTTCTGTCTCACCCCCAAGTAGCTGGACTAACAAGGCGTGCCCACCATGCCCGGCTAATTTTTGTGTCTTTAGTACGAGATGAGGTTTCACCATGTTGGCGCAGATCTGATACTTAACTGCTGACCTCAGCGTG